CAAGATTCATATAATTTTGAATTTTGTATTTTTATTGCTATTTGTTCTCTTTACCAAAATGATCATGATGCATAAAAAAACATTTGCAGGACAGTGACAGAGAAAGGCCAGTGATCGTAAAATGAGTGCGTTTTGTGCATTGTCTGGGGAGTGAATGTATTATTGCACTGACGGTGCCTACATTTTCATAGGCGTGTGTGTATGTGTGTGTATATGTGTGTGTATATGTATGTGTATATATATATATAAACAAAAAAAATAAGACCCCTGTGGAGCTTTTTAGCCATAATGTGCTAGTGTACAAAGTAGGGATGTCGAGATGCCAGTGCCGATACGAGAACTACCAACTTGCAGCTGGGACCTGGCTCCGGCTCTCCACCACTGTCCTGAAATCATTAGTCTGTATTGTTTTTAAAAAAACTGTCACATGACCATAAACAAAAATGTGTGAGTACTTGGACACGTATCAGTACTTGTAAAAATGGCATCGGTGCATCACTGATATATATTTTAAATAATGCATTAAAACGGTAATGCACAAATCCCAGGAGCTGCGTATGTTCCTTTTAAAAATGACAACTCCCTTCGAACTTTAGAATTTTTCTCTTGTCTAGTCTTGGAGCTGGAAAAGTATCTGTACTTGTACCGAGTACGGTACTTGGTATCTGAACATCCCTAGTACAAAGCAACGATGTATGCGCTGTCCTCCCTCACTGGCATTTTCGTCCCAGTGCGCTTCTGGGATCAGAGTCTTCGATTGATTGGCCAGGGCCAGATGACTCCTGCGCATGCCCATGGGAGTTACCTTGTCTGGGCAAGAATCTTGCTAAAACTGTGCATGTGTAGCTCAGTGCACAGAATAAAATTGCTGACCGGCAGATAGAGGAAGTGTTCCAGCAGAGACTTCACACATTCCCTTCTGTCATATTCAGCCTGCTTGTGAGCATTTTTTAAAAATATTTCACTTGACAGCCACTTGTCTCCAGCATTGTCACAGTCGGCGAGCGCATGCTCCTGCATTCCCAGAAGCAGGGAAGGAAAAGGCAAAGCAACAGGTTCACTTAACTGCCATCCCACACTGTTTATACTTGGCTTTCTTTTACCCATTCAAGTTAATAACCGGGTGACGGGCCACATCTGTAAGCGACACTAATCCCAATTTGGCAGAGTTAGGCCTCATTCACACTGGGCAGTCTACATTGGACAAATTGTGGACAAAACTCACTTTTGCATTTGAAGGAACTCTGCTCTATATTGGAGGTCTTCTTTATTCTGAAAGTGTATGTCCAAAAAATAAAAACAAAACTACTTGGTACATCTCTTGAATTATATGCACATTTCCCCATGTTTTGCTTCTTTAAAACCACTGCAGGTACAGAAAAATATCTGATGATCCTGACAGAAATCAAGTGAGCATTTTGTGCCGCAAAGGCACAGGAAGTTAGGAGCTCACTGGATCCCTGGCAGATCAACAGGTATTTTAACATACTAGTTTTTAACTAGACAAAACATAAAGGGGGGGAATTTATCAAAACTGGAGCAGACAAAATCTGGAGCAGTTGCCCAGGGCAACCTCGGCTTCTCTCTTCAGTTTGTTCAATTAAGATTCAGAAAATGAAACGGAGGCTAATTGGTTGCTGTGCACAGCTGTTCCAGATTTTGATAAATCCCCCTTCGAGAATATGCATGTAATGTATATATTTCTTTTAAAGTGAATGTCAACACTAACATTGTATGTGTCATTATATGCTGTTATATTTTGCTTTGACAAATGCATTCATTTAGCCAAACATACACAAGTGTGCTTTCACTAGGGGACCACAAGATGGTGCCATAAGTACAAAAGTACATTTTAGACAGTTTAAAATACATACACTGTTTAGTAGGAAGAACTGTGTATATTGTATTTCAACTTTTCATTCGTACACATTTACCTTTCTGTTATTTATAATGCAGGATTTTAGACGCATATCATTATCAATAAACATTCCCAAGTGATTTTTAGTTGTTTTTTTTTTCTTATTATTAAATGGTCACTGTGACTGGACCGCATCAAGCACAGCAAATGTATATTTTAATACAAATAGGATATTGGGATTTACTGAGGTGCAGTGACTGCACAAGCCACACATTCTTATAAAGAGATCATTTACAGGAAACGACGTGCATTTGATATCTCGCTGGCCTATGAGGTGTCTATTGTCTATTTTGTCTTGGCAAAAGAAAGCTTTGATCGGGAAGTCCGTATCATATTGGGTTTGTCAAGTGTCAAATACTTTATAAAATTGTTCAGTCTTTAGTAAATTAGTTACATGGATGTTTATTACAGGGGCATTTTGTACTTTGACTCACTCAGGGTTATACAGCATGCCCACTGAATAACTTTAATTTATATCCTGGTATTTGTCATATGCACGTAATCTCTACTTGAAAAATCTTCATGGTTTGCTTCATTTATTTTCCTACTGGCCTGAATCCAAATCGTTGTGTTCACGGTTTCCCTGCACAGCCCTCCGCAGCACTCGTGGAGGGATGTTGCACAGAGACAAGTGACAAGAGGGTGCAATTATGCTCTGATGCAGTAAGGAAGGTTTGTTAGACCTAATGCACTTATCAAATTCAAATTAAAGTAGAACTATGGCCTCCTGTGAAAACAATCTGTGCTGCAGGCCCTAATTATAAGTACATCTGCACGTACAGTTTTCTTTTAGTCTCTCTGCAAATTCCCACAAGTGTCTGTTGAACCTGACAGTAAAGCTCACTTAAAGCAGACCTCTACACTCCAAAACCAAATTCTACCAATGCATCCCTCTATGTATGATGATTAATAATACCATAGACATGTCAGATGTAGAATGCTGTCATTGTGAAATACATACACTTGCAGAGCATTCACTTCCTGCTTTTAAAGGTGCAAAACGACTTCAGTTTGCCAAAACAATGCACACTGGGATTGTTTTGTCATCAGCAGAGCATTGCTGGGAAATCTGTAATCTCATGAGATCTCGGGGAAATGCATTTTCCTCCCGTGAGATGATGTCCATGGTGTCTAGCCACATGTGCCAAAAATCCAGGAAGTAATAGGAGAGCTAGTAATCTGCCCTTAGTAAACATGGCCACTGTCAGAAGACTGGGGAAGAAAAGACAAATAAGATATGCAAAGAATACAAAGCCGGCAATTCTCTAGAAGTATGTGTGTTTTATAGATTGTCTTTACTATACATTTCTAAAGGTGTGTTTTGTTATTTTAAAGATATGGGTAAAGGTCAAATTTAATGCAGCCTTCTCTGATTGTGAGTCATAATGAATGTGGATTTGGCTCAGTTTGGGAGGGTAACGGAAGTGTTTTTACTTTTATGAGGCTTGTGCATCACATGGTAACTGGATTTTGTACTTGTTTAGCCTGTAATACAGGAGTTTTTTTAAGTGGACTTGCTGACTATTGTTTAATCAGTGTTTTTGGGGTAGTATTAGCAGTTCACTCATTATTCATTGTTGTGTGTGGTTTCAATGTGCAAGACACCAGTATAATCACATTCTAGCTTTTCTCGTGTATCTCTCTCCTTCCAGGGTGCAATCTGTGATTTCTGTGAGGCCTGGGTGTGCCACGGCAAGAAGTGCCTAAGTGTCCATGCGTGCAGCTGTCCCCTGACCTCTGCCGAATGTATTGAATGTGAAAGATCAGTCTGGGACCATGGTATGTTAATACATAAAGACAGTCATTACATTATGAGCTAAGAAATGTATCAAGTCATTGTTTAGCATTTGAGAGTCAAATGGCATATCTGAATTGTAACGTGGTATTTGGAAGCTCCTAAAGTACAGCATGAATAATTTATGATCTGCTTATTGACAGAGTTGCTTGCCTTGCATCTCTAAAAGGAATCCATGTTTAAAATTGGCTATATGGAAGCTTTATTCACTATCCTTTTTTTTACTTGGCAGCCACATTGAATGTATTTAACAGGCTATGGAGTTTATTATTAACAATGCACAGGGCCCTTCACCCTGCAAATATCTGTGAATGTTTGTTCTGTGCTAATGATGCCAAAAATGATTTTTTTTTCCAGTTCAAATGTAATTTGTTGTAATAATACATTATGCTCACTAGTTGGAGTTTCCCAGTTCGAATGTATTGTTTCCTATGCTCCTCGGCTCCATTTAGTGGCCTAATGTAATATTTGTATTATTTTGCATAGAGTAGAACATTTACCCTAAGGAGAACTATGGGGAAAAGCCCTGACCCCATAGTTCTCCTTTTAAGATTCGTGTTTTTGTTTTTTGTGTGTGTTTTATGCCTTTTTACTCTTGGGAGTTTTCTCCTTTTACTCCCTGTGTTCGAGAAAGATCAGGAATAAAGAGATCACTTCAAAGAGAGGGGATATATATGCTTTTAGATATCCTGATCTTGTGACCATTTCAAAATGTATGGATTTCCCATCACTATCTGTATTTGTGGTAACCAAGACAAAAAGAAAAGTTTTACCTACACTCTGTGCACGCAAACTGTACTTTTGTGGTCATTTTGGTTTTGTACAGTAGTGTAGAATAATATTAATTTGTAAATAGTATTCTCACTTATGCTTTGTTTTGGCCAGACCGGCTTTTAAAGCAGCTTTGCAGTATTTGTTTGCTGCCATTAGATTCACTCCACAGCTGTCTACACTTCAAACTCTAAAGTTGACTTTGGAACGTATGTGTAAACCGATCACTTGATGTTTTCCAGTTTCCATGTTAATGGATAAATACAGGCAAGTTTGCACATATGGTAGAAATGTGATTGATCAAACAGGATGAAATATCTTTTTCTCTGAGCTGATTAACTGTAATACAAATGGTACTGGATCTACTGTGCCAGGAGCATCTCCTAACTAATACAAAGTGTTGGAGACAAGTTCTATCTCAACTGATGGGGTAGCAAGTAGAAACGTATCCGCTTCTTTCTTTGTTTTCCACACAGCTCAGGAAATTGATTGGCTGCGCTCAAATTGAGTCTTGGGGGGTTGATTTGTTAAAGGGTTTGCTAAGTGCCCTGGCTCTAAGCTTAATCTAGGGACAGTAGTGATGTGTGGACTGCGTTCACCCAGCTATATGCTGGGCAAACCCTTTTATAACTCAGCCACAAAGGTGTTTCTCAGACCCCATCACATCAAAGTGCCCATTTTTCCAAATCATATCAGAGCCCCCCTTTCACATAAGAGTTCCAGCTTTACTTCAGGAGCCCCCTTCACATCAGTCTTCATTTCCCTCCCTCCATATTATAGCTTCAGTACCACAACATTTTGTGGCACCCTGAGGAAACCAGAACGCACACCAGGGTGTCACAGCACCATGGTTGAGAAAGGCTGCACTAAATGTCTATTATTTATAGAGTTTCATTTCTGATTTGTCTGATGGGGTAAGGGCAGAATTCTACACGTTTCATTGTGAATAACACTACTTCTTCAGGAGCGATGGAGAATATTCCTAATTACATCCTATAAATCTGCATTAGTCAAAATGTATCACATATTGCAATTATCGCGATACATGATTGATCTTATGTTGGATCAATACTTTACGTGTGTGTGGTTAGAAGCGCTCAGGATACAACAGTTAAACCTGACAAATGTCACTTAAAAACAGGGAGGATGCCACATAAGACCCACAGTGTGTGGCTCATCAGCTTTCACATAGACAGCAGTCCTATTTTGTATTCTGTTATTTATAGATTCCCAAATATCAATCCAGGACCATCTACCAAAGCAATAAGTTCAAGAAGTACAACTGCCACCTATTTCCCAATGTTGCTATAATGGTGGGTACCTAGGTCCTAAAAATGTGAGGGTTAGAAGATCCTCCTCAAACACCAATAAAGGGGAGATAAAGAAAAAAACAATACATTCTTGTTGGGCTTTCCCCTGCAGATGCCCATAAACGCAGCAGTCAACTTTCTGTGCAAGATTCAACTGAAACAGATGGCTTTCTTTCCTAAAGTTAGTAGAAAGGTAATTTATACTGGGAAGAAAAGATCTGGCCCTTTCTGCCATCTGAATCAATGGGACCACCAGTTTTCCTGCTGATTTGTTAAAGCTTTTTATTGTGCACCGAGGAGGTGAAGGAGTTAAGAGCATGATCAGGAGTGCAGGTGATCCAACCCTCCAGTGATTCTCCTTGTTAATTGCTTGTTAAGTATATAGTGCAGGTGGAAGAGAACACACTATAGATGTCTTCCAGTGCCAATGTTTTCTTTAACAGTGAATGATTTGTTTTGTGAATTGTCTTGTTCTTCAGGTACTAGTCAGCTTCTTTTACCTTTCTGCTGGAAATGTTCCAGCAGTACAGGAAAAAAAAACAATTATACACAGAACAGAAATCATTTCCTTGGCTCTGTTGTGTTTCTAGAGGGAATTGCTTTTTTGTTTCCTGTTTACAGTTTGAATTTTCACCTATTATAGTTTTAAAGGAGAATTCAAATAAAAAAAAAAAAAAGCTCAGTAAAACTTAGAAATCAAAAAGGGGCAGCTTTTGCTGTAATACTTACCTTCAATCTGGAACTGTCCCCTGCAGTATGACTTTTCTGCCACTTAGCTGCCTTCAGTCTAGGGGGTTGAACTTTTAGAATAAATTGAATAAGAAAAAATTGAAATTTAAGTGATTTAGGTTTACATATACTTTAAGACTACACTCTAGTGCTGTAAGTCATTCTAGTTACTCTCAGAAGCGTAGTGTTGGCAAAACTGAATTACCTTAGTGACAGCTCCTGCCAGGCCTTTAAAGCATTTGTAACGCTGGAGGGGTTTGATGAGCTTCCTGATCATGTGACCACTGTGATCGGCAATCGCAGTCATCAGGGACCTGTCCTACTAGCTCTCAATCACTGCTTGGGATGGGAACCTATCGGTGACAGCACACGATTGAGTCCATTGCCAGCACAAACAGTGATGCCTGCTGTGTGCATGCATGTGTCAGCACAGCGTTAAAGCCAACCCCTTGAGTTATGTAGCCAATAAAAAAATTCTTGTATTTCTATAGCCTACCCCAATCTGTCGTTATTTGACCCTCTTGTATCGACTATGACTGGGAGAGGAGGGGGCAGCCACTATAAGTCAATAAGGCTTTAATGTATTGCATAGGGCACAGGGATCTGGCTGATGGGTAAGAGTACAGGGCTCATCAGCTTATTGCTGCTTCTTCACTATTCAGTCACAGTAATACCCTGAGGTCCCTTACCAAGCTGCATTGCTTTAACTGATGCAGAGAAAATTAGGTCAGAGTCTGGATATGCTTTCCAGTGAGATGTCTGCCACAGAAATAAAATGTTTTGACAAGAACAGTAGTTCACACCCATGCACTTCAACTGTGAAATCCGCTGTTTGCCTACACTTTCACGGCTTGATTCATTAGCAGATATACTGTTCTGAAAGCTTAATCCCTTGTATGGAAGTGGATGGAACCCGTGCTGTATTTCATAATACAGCTGCATGTGTCTTATCCTCAGGCCCTGAGCAATGTGCACAGTCCTTGGAGTAGGGAGCTGGGTTAACCACAGGAATAGAGGACAAGTATTTTTGGAAATCAAGACTACATAATTGGACTTCTAGTTCTTGCTGTTATATTACAAGTAGGAATTTGAATTTTTCTTCATGAGTTACAGAAAATCATTGCTGACTGGTTGATGTAAATGGTGAAACAGTTTTTTGTAATGTTTAAAACTGAGCTCTAAGCAAATATACTGTATATAGTCCAGTTTTAATGTTCCTGAAAACCATAACCTTTTAGCTTAAAGGGTTTCTAAACCCTCTTTTTTTTTGCATATATCTACTGCTAGCATGTTCTGGAACAAGCTGTGCTTCTGGCAGTGCCAGGCCAGGATGTTTGCTTGATAGGAGTGGTGGACTTGCACAAATAGCTGCCAAAATCTACAGATCTTTTGGTAAAACGGTTGCCATGTATGTATGAAGATGTTTTCCAATAGACATTTTCATTTCCCATGCAGGCAACCACATATACCTTTCTGTTGCCCCCCTAGTGCTCCATACAGCCACCACAAGTAAAAAGCTGCCAATATCTACAGATCTTTTGGTAAAACGGTTTCCATTTTTGTATGCAGCTGTTTTCAAGTAGACATTTGCATTGCCCATGCAGGTAATTGCACATACTTTAGTTTATGTTGCCCCCCTAGTGCTCCATACAGCCACCACAAGTAAAGAGCTTAAAGGTTACAATTTACCCTGGGTTAAGGACACCCTCCTTGCCTCATGTGACAACACTGGGTGCCCAAGCTGCAAATCGCCAAGCGCCACACTATCATGTTGGAGAAAGAGGAGTGCTTTGCATACCCATGTGGAACTAAAGTTGGTTTGGTAATAAGGGCTGACAGGCAGGCTTTTTTGATGACAGAAGAGACTGTGTAAGTTTCTTCTGCCATAGATGCTTCTACCTGCCTGTCAGCACTTTGTTCCTGTTAGTGTACACTAAACTGTACATGCACAGCTCAGGACAAAGGTAACTTCTGTGTGCATGTGCAGAAGTTATGTTATGCCGGCCTGGTCAATCAAGATGCAACACGTAAGAATACCAGGTGAGGATAGAAGTGCCACCAACAGAGGTGAGTGGGCATTGCACTGCCATAATGTGCGAATTTGCTGTGCATTTGCACTTTAATGGAAAAAACTCCTGGGGGCCCAAAATTGTTCATTTTGCCTGGCGGCTGAGTTCTACTTTAGCACAGGTTAGCTTTAAGGCCATGTAAACACATGCTCTAGATGTTTCACTAAGCACTTCTGTGTATTGAATTAAATACTAGCCAGTTGCCAAGAAACCTAGACTGGCAGCAATAACATTGGTGACGTGTTGAGGCATTGCCTGTTCTCTTCCCCCGAAACACCCTTCCCTCAAGGAATCGAAAGGCTTTCAGAGCGCAGGCACAAACCTGAATTGAATGATTTCAAATATGCTTCAACTTTATTTGTTATGGTACTAATGTTTCCTGGCACTTCTAATCTTGTGCTATTCAGGTGGCAGGATATTCTGTTGCTCCTTCTGTTACAACTTCCTGTGTGAAGATGACCAGTTTGAACACCAGGCAAGCTGCCAAGTCTTGGAAGCAGAAACCTTTAAATGTAAGTCAATGAGGAAATATCTGAAAACCCAATTGTAGTTAATGGGAAAATTATGCAAATCAGATTGGGGTGGCTCAGAGCAATAACTGATCATCTTCTTACTGTGTTTTCTCTTTGTAACCCTGTTATGGCAGAAAACTCCTGTGCTCAGTTGCATGCTGCAGACAGACTGCTGTGCTTGTGTGACGGCAGCGGCCTCTCTGCAGTACACTGTGACGGCTGCGGCCTCTCCGCGGTGCCCCGTGTGACGGCAGCCGCCTCTCCGCGGTGCCCCGTGTGACGGCGGCTTTTGTACATTTAGCCATGCTTTGGACAAGCAGAGCTAAATGTACAGCGGGGAGCCGACGCTCGTTTAGTACAAGTGATCTGATCAGATCACTTCGATCAAACGAGCAGCGATGATGTCCGCTGCCACACATTTTTCGGGTCCCCGGCTCTTCTGGGGGGCCCGGGACCACGGCACATAAGCTTAGCATAGAGTGTAGAGCAGACAAAGAACGTCCGTGCTCTGTGTGAGCACTGGGACCGGAGCGCTGTAATCACAGCGCCACCTGTCTCAGCTGTCAGGAACTGCACAGAACATCTGTTCTGTGTTGGAGCGGAGGACAGGTTCCATAAAGGGAACCTGTCACCTCCAAACGATCACATAGGGGATTTTAAGACCCTATGTGATGAGAATAAAATGAAGTAATAATTTTTTTTAAGTTCTCAAAAAAGTCAACCATAATAAAACTATATATAAATGTAAAAAATAAAAGTGATAATGTAAAAAATAAAGTTAAAAATTAAAACCAACCCCACTGCCCCTGCCATCTGCATGCAAATAAACGCACGCATTGGACATTGTGTGTGTTGAGTGCTTCCGCCATTCCACTGTGTGCCACATTGTGGTAGCCAGGCAGCAGAACTCTTATACATACATCGCTCCTGTGTGACGGCAGCAGCCTCTCTGCAGCGGTCCGACACCCCCTCCCCCCCTCCCTTATGTAGGACTGATTAAGCAGAGAGAGTATCGGACCACTATGGAGAAATTGTTCCTTGCACAAAACCTGGCAGCTGGGAGACATCTGACAGGTTTAGATAATGCCTGCCAAGTATCTCTTTCAACCTCCATGTTACCTTGGGTCAAATAGTTTGTCTTTTGTTGACAACAGTTTATAATTTTTCGTTAAACAGGCGCCTCCTGCAATCGTTTAGGTCAACATTCATGCCTGCGCTGCAAGGTAAATATGACTAATATTGATAAAAAAAGATTACAGGCTGAGAGAAGGAAACCGGTTCTTTCACTCTTAATGTTTGTGTGTGTATGTATATGTGTATCTATATATAGATAGATAGATCTCGATTAGATAGATAGATCTCGATTAGATAGATAGATCTCGATTAGATAGATAGATCTCGAGATCTCGACTAGATAGATGGATAGATCTCGACTAGATAGATAGATAGATCTCGACTAGATTGATCTCGATATATAGATATAGATTATATATATATATATATACAGTGTGTGTGTTCATTTGTCTTAAATCAAGTTAGAAGTGGAATTTCTTGTGCCCGTCATTATTAAAGTGACACTAAACTCAGGGGTTAAATATCAAAAATGCATTCAAGTACATTAACTATTAACTATACTGGACCTTATTTGTTTATCACTCAGCTGTAGATCCTCAAATCATCTCTGAATTGGTGAACTGGAGGGTGGCTACTTTGTTCCCCCTGGCCCCTGTGTGTGTTGTAAAATAGCCACTGATCCAAGTTCACTCCAGTGATGGACTACAATCTCCACACAAATGATTACTCATTTACTAGAAGTGAGATTATAGACCATCATGAGAGTGTGGTTGGAGTGGTAGCTGCTTTACAACACACACATGGACCATGGGGAACAAAAGTAGCCACCCTCCAGAAGGAAGGACAGTGTCTGCATGATGGCATTCTCAGGAGCCCTAAGTTTAGTGTCGCTTTAAGCTAATTTAAGCATTTTTCTTCTTAAGAATCATGCACTTGTCGGTGGTATTGCTTTGTAAATAATGTCTGGGTTTAATTTGGACAGGCATGTTTCTGCGATGATCATGCTCGAAGCAAAGTTTTCAAGACTGAGAAAGGCAAGGAACCCCCCTGCCCGAAGTGTGGCCATGAAACACAACAAACAAAGAACCTTAGCATGTCTAGTAAGTGTGTTTTTCACTTTTCTGCTTTTTACTCCACCTAGCTTGATCAAAGAACATTTTTATGGTCATTAAAAGTTGCTTTAAAAGTGCCTTATATTGTCTTTGTGAGGAAAGGGCCATTTAGTTAGTGGACTATCTTTCAGTTTTGGTAAGCCTTTCTGAAAGTAGAATATTTTATGAAGCATGCAGTTAGTCTGTATATTTCATGAAGCTTAACCTGTAAATTAATGGATGCATAGCTAGACTGAGTGAAGGATACATAGTAGTATGCTAAGAACAGGAATCACAGTGCTAAGCTTGTATATTTCATGGAGCATGGGTGAAAATTAGCAGATGTATAGGTATAGTGAGGGAAGGGAGTACAGTAGTAAGCCTGTATATTTCATGGAGCTTGCACTGGAAATTAGCAGATGTATAGGTATAGTGAGGGAAGGGAGTACAGTAGTAAGCCTGTATATTTCATGGAGCTTGCACTGGAAATTAGCAGATGTATAGGTATAGTGAGGGAAGGGAGTACAGTAGTAAGCCTGTATATTTCATGGAGCTTGCACTGGAAATTGGCAGATGTATAGTTGGGCTGAGGTCAGGAGGTTCAGTAGTAAGCCTGTATATTTAATGGAGCTTGCACTGGAAATTGGCAGATGTATAGTTGGGCTGAGGTCAGGAGGTTCAGTAGTAAGCCTGTATATTTAATGGAGCTTGCACTGGAAATTGGCAGATGTATAGTTGGGCTGAGGGCAGGAGGTTTTGCACTGGAAATTGGCAGATGTATAGTTGGGCTGAGGGCAAGAGGTTCAGTAGTAAACCTTTATAGTTCATGGAAGTTGCACTGAAATCAGCAGTTATATAGGTCGGATGATGGCAGGTAGTACAGTAGTAAAACTGTTTGGGTTATGGATCTTGCACTGAAATTTAGCAGCTATATAGGTAGGCTGAGGGTAGGAAGTACAGTAAAAAAATCTTGTATGGTTCATGGGGCTTGCACTATGAATGATTGGATGTGTAGGTAGGCAGAGTGCAGGAAGTACAGTAGTAAGCCTGTATAGTTTATAGAGCTTGCCTTGGAATCTAGAGGCAGTATAGTCAGATCAAGGCCACAGAGTGCATTTCTAAGCTGTTCTTTTGCTTGTTTGTAGTACGAACACTCAAGTATGGCAGGCAGAGCGGAGCAGATGAGGACGAAAATGGAGCTTCTGGCTATGACAATTATTGGAAGAATCTGGCTTCTGGTGGCACCAATACGTACGATGATGACGATGATGAGGAGGAGGAAGATGATGAAGATGATGAAGATGAGGGTGATGAGGAAGGAGAAAAGGATTCTGATACCGAGGCCACAGATCTTTTCGGCCACTTGAACTTGGGCAGGACGTATGCCAGTGGCTATGCCTACTATGAAGAGTCTAAAGACTGAGTTAATATTGTGTGCCCTATAATAAGAATGTGGTAGCTTTGCTGCTTTCTAAGTTATGAAGCAGCAGTGCCTCATACAATGTGTACGATTTCAAGTAGGTCTAAACCCTAACTGGCCAATATTTAGTTTGCTAAAGCATTGTGTATGTTTTGTTATAAAATACGGTTTTCGCTTTTTTGCATCTCAGTGTAGCTGATCTCAGACTTTTCGAGGCACTTCCTGTCTACATGCATTCACTATAGAATTATCTGCACATTCACTGGCTTTCTCATTAGGACAACCATGAACCATGCATGTGCAATGTGTGTTAACACAGCCACAGGGGGCAAATATGACAGGGTGACAATGCAGAAGCACAATTGGGGCACAGTTGCCTTCCAATAACAGGAAGTACCTGAACAAGGACGTTTACAGCAGGATCACTAGAGATGATTTGAAATGAAGACTGAAAACTTTTGGAATTATATTAATATGTTAAAGCTTGGGTTTAGAATTGCTTTATTATACATTAGCCAGCAATGAGTAAAATTTGAGCCTAGTAAAAAGTGCAACATAAGTATGGGTTATACTGTAAGTTCAATGGTAAGATATTTAGTTTATAGAAATTCTTATCCCTTCATATGTGACGTGGTGTACTCTTGTCATACCTATAAGAACAATTTTCCTCAGACAACAACAGGTCAAAATCAGTACACATCTGGACATAATAAAACCCAATTTGAATCAAAATGTTTGCTTTTTTTTTTTTTTGTTTAAAATCCAGTGGGGGTTTTATTACTATGTGTTTCTTGTTGGGAAGGTTGCCACTCACTTAAAATTTCTACCAGTGAAACCACTGGGTTAGTAAAAGTAAGTCTTCTAACAGGGCTTGTAGTTGGTCTTTATGGCAGATCATATAAAATAGGATTCCTAGTATTGCCTTTGCAGAAATTCTTGAGTAACTGAATCAGAAATGGTCGGAAATCGAACAGGGTAATGGGTGTGGTTGTATGGTGACCACATTTGCCTTTGTGTGATGTCATTGTATGACTGCATCTATTGTTACCTAGGCAGTCTAATTCATTTAGTTGTTGAAGATTCAGATCTACGAATTGGTTCAGTGTGTTAAAGAACAGTAGGCCACAAAGCTTCAAGATTGCTCACATCATGAGAAGACTTGCCTTTTCCTGAACTCTTGCTGTAGAGGAAGGTGTCTTTCTTTAGCAGTGGTGGGCCATCTGTTCTATTTTGAGGACCTCACATTAGCATCCTCTTACAGCTACACGTTATTTTTAATCTTTGTTATTATAAAAGATGGAATAATGCTCCAAAAGGATTGCAATAGTTTGTGCTTGTTAATCAGGAGCCTCCACACTTTCTATATGAAGGGACATTTACGTGTCCCTCAGATTTTAGTGTGGCCAGTGGGAAAAGAAAATTTCCCTGTTCTCAGTGGTATTAAACAATCCCTGGGCTCAGTAAGAAGTGGAAACAATGCAATATTCCTCAGCATTGTTGGTCAGTGGGAGTAAAGAATGACTGGGTACTGTGGTCAGTATGAGGAATAATGGATCAACATTGGTGTCGGTGGAAGGAAATTTTCCCCATCGTACGTGCCTGTGGGAGGTGCAGTGCCCCATTTTTGCTGTCCGTGGGATAATGAATAGTGCTCCATTCTTGGTGTCATTGGAAGGAATAGTTCCCCAAGGGCCGGTTAAGGGCAAACAAACGACAACACTTTGGGGACCACCGTTCAAAATGTATGAAAAAGCCCCACTGCACGGGGTAATTTTAAAAGAATACCTGGAGATGTTCCTTAGTAGCTAGTTGCCATCTGCCTGTTGTATAAAAAAACAGATGGACAGTTTGCTCTTGGATGTGGGTTGTTGTGCGCACAAGCAGGACACGGTAAACATTTTTTACAGCCAGCGATGGCTGTCACATTCAAGCGTTTATCAACATTTTCGGTACTTTTTTCTGTGTATAGTATAAAATAAAGAAAACCCCAGTGGTGATTTAAATTCCACCAAAAGAAAGCTCTATCTGTCCCCCAAAAAAATACATTTTGTTGTGGCATTGAATACGGAAATACAAGTGGTTAAAGTGTTCCTGTGCCCATGCTATACATTTTGTCTAAAAGTAGCAAAAGAAATGTAAATAAGCCCCGACTAACCTTTGTAACTGCAAGCACTGTGGAGAAATCCATTCACAGCAGATGCACTGAAGTCCTTCAAGTTGTCCTCGCAGCAGCTCAGCCCATCCTGCATCCTGCTCCATCCCCTCCAAGGCTATCTGCTCTGTGTTTACATTAGAGATTAAAAGGCTGGAAGGCTACTGAGTCACTTCTGAGAGGGGGAAGCAAAGTAAGCTGAGTTCTAATAAACAACTTGAGGGATTTCAGTGCTTTTGTTGCAAACTTTAATGACTTGCTTCACGGTGCTTTCAGCTACTGAGGTCGAGGAGTTGTCTAATACCTGATTCACAGCTTGTTAAGAATATGTTCAAAGCTGGCCATTATGTAGATGTGTGAGTGGCCAAATCTTACCTTACTCTTAAGGAGACCCTGTTGTTATAACAGCTCCAGACAGACATGCCTGTAAAACAAGACTGAATACTTTCCTTTCCCACTGCCCCCATTACCAGAACATTGCTCCATTTTTATTTTGGTGCTGGAAGAAGTGAGGGTTGCCGAGTTCCCAGTCATGAATCTCATAATTAAAGCAGGTGTACCATGATGAGAAATGCTGTCAGAAAATGAAAAAAAAATGAATGGCAAGAAGACAACATGAGAGGTCGTTAGACCATTTGGATGCAGTGAGGAGAGAAAGGGGAAAAAACATTGTGCATACCTACATTGCGTAGCTTAGTGGGTGTGCCCCAATAAGGCATGGTTAAATAAAAACCTATTTCCTGTACACACTGCACACATTCTTCCACCCCAAAAATATGATATGCCTTAATTACTGTGCCACTGGCAAGAGTCTCACAGACAAACCTCGACAGGATCATTTACCTTTAAAAAAAAAAGTAAACCTATATTTCATTTTTGCACACACAATATACACATAGAGCTAATGCTTTGCGTAGGCATAACTTAAAGGAGAACTACACTGAGTGGCCAGATTATTATGACCTGATGTTTGTAGGCAAATAAGCTATAATTTCACGCTGAGGTTGCTAGAGGGCCAGACCATTATAAATAGGGAAGCAGGTTGTTTACCACGACAGTAGAAGTGATTTTTTTCTAAAGATATGGGTAAGCAACGCGATTTAACAGCCTTTGAACGTGGGATGATTGTTGGCGCGAGCCATGGAGTGAGTATCGGCAAAACAGCAGAGTTCGTTAAATGTTCAAGAGGGGCTCATTGTTAAAGTGTTTAAAGACTGGACTGTCAGCCGAAAATCTGGGTCTGAACGTGCGAATTGTGGCCGTCAGCGACTAGTCAATGTTAGGGAAGAACGGAGAGTGGCAAGACTGGTACAAGACAACAGAAGGGCAACAGTGCCGTGTCAGATTCCTCGCATCAACTTTCAACATCTCGTGGAAAAACGAAGTACTGATGGGGTGGTCATAATAATCTGGCCACTCAGTGTATAGTTGGTGTCTGAGGACCACTAGCAACCAAGAACTGTGGAGACAATGAACATATGTATTAAATAGGTATGCAATGCACAGCACAGTTTGTGCATCGGTCAGGGTTAAGTCTTATGTTACATAGCATAAAACATACTGAGTACAGTGATCAGGAGTAAGTAATGTGCTGTCTCTGCTGCACTACCTTTTGCAGCGCCCCTGTTCTCTCCATTCAGTGCTTTACTGCAAGCTGTATTCAAAGTCTTTTACAGGTATGTTTGGCTGAGGTTTGTGGTTTAATGACCAGGTTGAACCACAAGCGCCAAGAATGTTCACCAGTATTATGATGCCTGTATATCAAAATAGCCCCAATAGTGCCAAGTATAGCAGCAGGTGTACTCAGAAATCTATAGTAGAAAGAGCTGCTGCAGCAGTTCTTGTCATCTCTACTTGGCTCTTTAAAAAGAACCTATAAAAGGAAACAAAGTAATATCTGACTAGCTCCATGTTCAGGAGGGCCACAGAGATGACTTTGAAGGGCCACCCGTAAACCCCTGATTGGCTAATGTTGCTATTTAGCTGAGAATTTTCAGACCAGCCCCATTAAAAGTCAACCAAAAAAGATTTTGTTAAAAGGAGGGGTGCTAAAAGGGTTGCACACTGGTCGAATGTCAGCAGGACTTGGCCGAAGTGTAAACAGTGTATTTCCAGCTCAACGCGGACCTTTAATCTTATCTTTAAAATAACAACAAACACACCTTTAGAAATGTTTAGTAATGACATTCTACACACACATACTTCTAGATAATTGCCGACTTTGTATTCTTTGCATACCTTATTTCTCTTTTCTGTCCCAGTCTTCTGGCAGTGGCCATGTTTACTAAGGGCAGATTACTCCTTTTACTTCCCTGATTTCTGGCACATGTGACTTGGACATGTGACCATGCACATCATCTCAGGGGAGGAAAATGCCTTTCCCTGAGATCTCATGAGATTTCCCAGCAATGCTCTGCTGCTGATAAGACAATCACAGTGTGCATTGCTTTGGCAAACTGAAGTCATTTGCACTTTCAAAGCAGGAAGTGAATGTTCTGCAAGTGTAAGTATTTCACAATCGCAGCATTTTACACCTGACATGTCTATGTTATTACTAATCATCATACATAGAGGGATGCATTGGTAGAATCTGATTTTTGAATGTAAAGGACCGCTTTAAGTGTTTTTTTATATGATGACTCTTTCCTGGATCTTTACATAAGGGAAAATATGATGTCATATTGTAAACATAAGGCCCGGAGATCATTCTATTTTTACAAATGTCACATTACTCTTTGTTTTAGAGAAACAGACCTTTGACCTTAGAAGTTTATTGCTGTTTTATTTTACATGATAAGCATGTTTGTGTGGCGGGACTTTGCTGTTTTACTAGCAGATGATAATATACAGTATGGTCCTCTCTGTTGAGAGTTTCTTAGCTGCAGCACAGAGACTCAGTCAGAATCACTTGAGCAACTTGAAACAGTGATAGCAGTGTATTTCATTGCATGGAACAATGTTTCTGATGTGAAGGGTTATGACTGTATTTAG